AATGTCATGAGACAAAGTGTATGTAAACTGCTGTATGGAAAGTGAATTTGCTGTGTAAATCTTCACCCAAATCACAATAAAAAAAGAAAGAAAGAAAGAAAGAAAGAACTATCTATATGGGATCAAACTGACAATAGCAATTCAAAAGATTAGATAGGAACCTTAGAGGACAGAGAGTTTATATTAGTAGGGGAGACCAACTCAGAAAAAAAAGGATAAGAATGGTTGCACAACTTGAAGAATGTAATCAATGTCACTGAACAGTACATACAGAAACTGTTGAGTTGGTGCATGTTTTGTTGTAGATATTCTCAACAACAACAACAAAATAAATAATTTTTGGGGAAAAATATGAATTATCTGTTAGTATAAAATAAAAGTAATCAAAGTGAACTAAATGTCACATCCAAAAAATCTATTTTTCCCCTTATCCCATATTCACAAAGAAATACTGATATTTCCTTTACATCATCTCTTCTAATCAGCCTCTCTTTTCCATCCCCCCCAACCCCATCCAAATTCAAGTTCTTTTCTTCCTCTTTATGCTTGGGTACTGAAGCATTCCCCTAAATGTGCTCCTTATCTCCAGGCTCTATAATCCATTCACACATACCTCCAGATTAATGCACCTAAGTCATGTTCAAATTATATTCCTCTCTGGTTTTCCACTGACTGCTTGGCCTGGTATTCAAGGCCCTTATCAATCTGATCTCAATCTCTATTTTCAGCTACCATTCCTGGTCTTGCCAAAATGGGCTACTAGAAAGTTCCCTGGGCATGAATTGTGATTTCCTACTTTCATGCCTTGGCACACATATTTTCTAATGGACCAGAATGACCACATCTCCACCTCTAATAAGAACAACCATCTGTGTAGTACTTTCACTTTTGCAAAGAACTTCCTTTTACATTATTTAATCCTTACAACAACCCTTCAAAGAAGCTGTTACTATTCTTTATCATCTCCACTTTGCAGATGAGGAAACTGAAACTCAGAGATGAAGTGACCTGCCCAAAGTTCATAGAGACAATGAAATTTCTGATTCAAATCTCATTCCATTAGACCACAAATGTTGACTCATTTTTCAAGGACTAATACAGATAGCACAAAGAATAATGCTGAACACATAAAATACTCAGACCTTCAGTAATTATTTATTTAAGTTAAAGCATTTTTATCTTGGGTGGAACAATCCAAAAACCCAGAGAGATGAGCCCACAGAGCTAGAAAATTAAAAGAGCAAACACAGGGGAGTGGTTCCTGACTTAACAGAACTCCTGAGACTGAGCTTTTGTCAAAACACTCATTAATTAGCCTTTAATTCACCAAATAGAACCTATGTAAGGAAGCTAGAGTGGAACAAGGGGAGACATACAAACAAGGCAAAGGAGGCTAAGGTAAGGTCTTCATTCCATAGCCTGATATAGTGTTGCTCAAATTAATTAGTTTTTAAAACAAACCTGCATGACACTGTCAACCATTCGGAGGGGGATCTATGTAGGAGATCCTGAATAGGGTTGGAGAACAATGTGGAACAAAACTCAAAATCATTAAAAAAAGGGAGGGGGGTGGGGGCCAGGTTTGCTGTCTGACAGAGCCTGATGGAACCACTGAGACTATGGCCCCTAGCTGCTTTTCATGTCTGGAATTGAACCCACTCCTGTGGCTGCCAGCCAAACAAAAGACAGCCATATGAGCTGAATATATTTACATTAGGTAGATACACGCCTTGGAGAGAACAATCATGGGAGAATAGAAGGGCTATGTATGCACAAGGACACAGCTCAGGGGGCAGGAATGCATGGAGGGAAGGACACAGGGAAGAGGTAACTATGGAGAGGAAGTGGGAGGGGAGCTATTTCATTGTGAGAAATTGCAGTCAATATCATGAGACAAAGTGTATGTAAGCTGCTGTATGGAAAGTGAGTTTGCTCTGAAAATTTTTACCCAAATCACAATAAAAATTAAGAAGAAAAAAAAGAATGATCCAATTATATGCTTCTCTAAAAGACAGACTTTGATTAAAAGACACAAAAGGGTTTTTTTTAAAAAAAAAAAAAAACTGCATCAGAAAAGGTGTTAAGTTAAAACTTGCATTATCTGCAGACTTCAGCAGAGAACACGACCCTTGTGTATGTTTGTTTGTGGTGTATAGACCAAGCCTTGTGGTTTAGCATACCTTTGCCTCAAAACCTTTGCCTGTGCCACTTTACTGCAAGCCAAGTATCTCCACATTAGAAGGACAAACAAGCCCCAAAACTGAATATATAAGACACCATGACCAACAAGCAACCCTACAAAGCATCATAACAGGAAGCCTACAGACTGACACAGGAAATACCAAGGCAACAGGTAAGAGTCCAAACAGGTTAACTTCCTTTGGATGAAGCAGACTGACAATGACACCAAAGGGCAGCTTCCCCCTTCTTTTGTCACACCTCTAGCAAAACAGCCTAGTAACTATCCAAGACACCTATCCCTATAGGTAAAGCAACTTACATGTGTATCTAAAATTCCAGGAGAAACTTTGTTCAAAGGGCTCCATCCAAGTGAGAACACATAGAACTGCTTCCCACTACCTCACCCAGAGAGAAGTACAGAAATAGAGAGGTTGTTGCCCCAATGCCTGACACTTCATTCTTTTTTTCCCCTTTAACCAAAACACACTTTGCCATCAAGCTGATTTCAACTCATGGCAACCCTATGCATTATGGAGTAGAACTGCTTCAAAGGAGTTTTTTGGTTGATTGTCTGGACTTTCTTCCATGTCGTCTCTAAGTGGATTCAAACCTCTAATCTTTCAGTTAGTAGCCAAGTACAAACATTTGCACCATCCAGGGATCTGTTTTCCCCCTTAAGATCCGTTTATTATCCTAAAATACAGATTAAAAATAAACATACAATCCCTCACGTATATTCCTTCTTTCATAAAATAATTCAGATATACGGAAATATATATTACGTCTGAATTCAAGCAAAAACAAAGGAAATTATAGTGACTTCATCATAGTTTTAAGGGAAAAACAATGAGAAGTTCCTGGAATACAAATGGGAAAATGTGTTAATTTTTTGCTTTCTTTAAATGTCAACATGTTTTTGGTCTAAATGATCTGTTGTTATTTTCAGTATCATCTATATACAGCTTAAAAGGAACTACAAACAAGCCATTTCATCCTAACATTTGTTGTTGTTGTTATGTGCCATCGAGTCGGACCCGACTCATAACGACCCCTCCTTGGGTGTCCGAGGCAGTATCACTTCGGAAGTAGATTGCCCAACCTTCCTTCCGAGGCTTTAAAAATTCACAAGGATGTACAGAGTTGATCCAAAACAATATAAAATATAAAAACCTCCCTCAATTCCAATGAGTCATAAAAACTTGTCAGTGCTGCCTTCTCAGCACTTCCACTGTATTTGCCTTTGTTTAGTGCAAACTTCAGAGTCCTGGTGGTGCTACGGTTAAGCACTTGGCTGTTAACCTAAAGGTCAGCAGTTCAAACCCACCCATGGGAGAAAGACCTAGCAATCTGTTCCCATAAAGATTACAGTCTAGAAAACACTATGAGGGCAGCTCTATTCTGTCACATGGGGTTGCTATCAGTGAAAATTGACTCAACAGCTCCTAACAACAATAATAGTGTAAACTAGTAGCTGGTAGGCTGTATCCAGCCTGAAAAGGGGTTTTGTTTGGCTACACATCATTCTTTAATCTGAATTTAAAAGCAAAGGAAATCTCAGACACCAGAGCTGCTGTGGGGGCAAAAGGGTTCCATTCTGGCCAGGTAACTGCAGTGATCCTTCCGGACTGCCCATGCTCGGATATGCTGCTGATAGGCTGGGGGGGGAAGGGAAGAGAGGAGCCTGTGAGACACTTCTTCCTCCTGCTTATTTTTCCCGAACAGACTCCTTGGTCTCCTTGAAGACCCCAAGTTTTTAGTGGATTACTTAACATGAGCCAATTGTACAATCAATTCCTGTTAAAGTGAACATAAGCAATACATACCCAGTCTTGCATTTCTCAAATTTTGTGGAACTGGGTTTCCTCTTGGAAGGCCCGTGTCTTTTTCGTCCTGCAGGAGCTGAAAGGATAAATAGTTCATTTGTACTCTGTTAATTGGTACCATTAAGCAACCAGCAGAGGGTAAACCCAGGAGCCCCCATAATCAAACCCAGAGAACAGCATTTATAAACAAAAACTGTCTGTCTAAAGACTCCAGACTACGTCAATAGTATGATTTTACCTATGCAAATCCCAGAGCTGCCAGCAGGGTAACCTGGCTTGATTCTGTCATATGTACTGAGGTATGAGTATGCCACTAGAGGCTGGATTTTGTGGGCAACTGAGGCATCTGCAGTATGAAGAGTGGTGTGGCACAGCTCCCTCAATTGCTATGAGTGGTTGGTGTCCTAGGCAGTACCTTCACCCAATATGCAAGCCAAATCTTTCTACCTTAGTCTGTGACCCATATTGCCAGGTACTGTAGCCAAAGACTTATGGTTCATGTCATTCATCCATTTATTTAAAAATATAAATCTATATTAAACATTATGTGCCAAGCACCAGGCTAAATCCTGGGAGAGATCAAAAGAGAGTTAAAAGTCCTCCCTGCAAGAGGATCATAGTCAATTGGAAGAGATAGATTCAGAGACATATTACAACACAGTGTGATTAGTGCCTTTGTAGAGATGAGTTCTAAGAGCTTTGGGAACCCAAGAGAAAGGAGAAATTCTGACTTATGGCTTCATAGAGAAAGTGACAATTGGGATAGGTCTTAAGAAAAATGGGATCACCTCAGGACAAAAATGAGGTAAGAAAACACTCTACACAGTTGGAAACAGAAACTACTAAGACATGGAGAAAATGGGAAAGCATGATATGTTTAGACTGTT